TTATAAAAGAAATCCACAATAAAATGTTATTCAAAAATTCCTAGAGAAACTAAACTAACTTTCTATTTATCAACATAAAAGAAATTCTAGCAAAAATATTAGTTTCTAACAAAAAAAGTATTAAAATGTAAACTATGTGCTAATTAACTAATCAAATTACGCTAATTAAAATATGCTAACTAAGATATTCTAGAAATTAAAACAGCATACTAAACTACCAAGCAAATACAATTAACTTGCATAAAAAAACTAACAAAACCAGTCCAGGGGGTAGGAATATTACAGGGGGTATATACAATAGTAATAATTCCCAGGCCCAGCCCAATCTTTAAAAAATACGTACACAGCAGGGGGGGGGGGGGAAACAAAACGCAGGTATGTATAACAAATAGTAACCAAAACGGGCCCAGCCCAACTCCAAAATCACACACACACACACACACACACACACACACACGGGGGGGAGTTAACGAATGGAAAAACGGAGGGTGTAGTGTGAAAACAAACAATAATGGGCTTTGGAGATGGCCCAAACCACATCCACTTGACTATCTTTTAGTAAACCCTAGGTCAACCAATTTTCCTTCACTGTTCATCCATCCCAACGGCGCCGCTTCTCCCTCTTCGTTCCAACTCTCTCAGACTCTCTCTTGTTCTTCCTCCGTTCAATCTTTATCATTTCAGCACCATATTCGTTCACATCAAACAACCAACAATCTTCCAATACCTCTCACAAATTGCTCAATCAAACCGAATAAACACAAACACCACTTCTTCAAGGTTCTTGAAGATGTTCGTTCTTGAAGACGGAGATATGAAAATTACTCACCGATGAAAGTGTTAACACAAGAATGAAAGAACCTGACATCTCTTGATGATCATTGAGGAATCTGGGAATCTTCTGGGAAAGAAACGAAGAACACGGTGGAAATCGATGCACAGACGATGAAGATCGTTGAAGATCAGGTTGACATTTCTGGAAAGTTGAAGGAGGACTTGATGCTCTGAAGTTCTATTGAGCCTCTGAAGAAAGGAATACGGTGAAGATCCAAGATCCAGGAGATTTCGTTAAAGATCCACGGCGTTTGAAGGCATGAATTTCTGAAGCCATGTGGATGATTAATCGGAGGAGGCAGATTCTGGAAAATTGCTGGTTGAATGTCCGTGCTAGTAATTTTTCCGATGAAGATGTGCCGGAGAATTTGATCTGAGATGATGAATGTTAGAGGAGAAAGATGAAGATTAGTTGAAACGATGAATTCTGGTATTTTTTTTAGTTTTCGGCGAGGTGGTTAAGGCGGAGGAGGAACAGTTACGGTGGCCGGAATAATTGGTTAGAGGTGCCGGCGAGTTGGTTGCGGTGGTTGCATGGTCGACGGCCATGCAACCGGTGAAGGTGAGTGATTGCCAAGTGGCGTAGCGAGTGGCAGAAGTATGATTGCATGCGAAGCACGTGTTATGGGAGAGAGAGGAGGGAGAGCCACGTAGCAGATTGGTTCTGAGTGGAGTTATGATCTGGCTAATCCTGGTTAACACACGTGTGTACTATTTATATGGACATGTAATGGACTTTAAGACGTGGGCCTCTGCATGATTGAAACGTGGATAAAAAAGCCAAACAAAAAATTCAGATTAAACGACTAATTAACACAGATTAATGTGATTAAAATGGATGGATTAAAGAAAGATAAAATGGATTAAACGTGGGACTAATGATAATGCAATGCTAAAATGGAAAAACAATGATTAATCCTAATTAAAACTATACAATTAATTCTACTTAAAATTCCATTAAAACCTATCTAAACTATTTAATAAAAGAAATCTATTAATTCTTATAAAAAAAGACTATTAAAAAATCTATTCTAAAAATCTATTTAAATCCTAGAAAACTAGTAAAAAAATCTATTAAAACTATATCTAAAGATTAAAAAAAAATTCATTAAGACAAAGGAAACTATTTTCTATTAAAAAGAGAAAACTATTATTTATTCTAAAAGTCTATACTATTTCTATTTTAAAAAAGAAATTATTTTCCTATTAAAAATACAACTCTAATGTTCTATAAAACAAAAACTATTTATTTATTCTAAAAAAAACTATTATATCCTAAAAAGATTTACAACTATCAAAACAAAATTAAAATCTATTAAAAAACTATTTCTATAAAAAAGAAAATCTAGTCTATTAAAAAAAAGTTCTATTAAATTTCTATTTAAAACCCTATATATGAAAACTATATTATTTCTATATCTAAAATTGAAAGATCTATTTAATTTCTATTAAACTCTATTATTTATTAAAAAAAGAATATCCTAAAATCTTATTTCAATTCTATTTACAAACATAGAAAAAAGACCATAAAACCCTACAGATGCAATTTATTCAATTACAAAGGAGATCGAGACCGGAGCAGAACCGGTGACAAAACTCGGACACCTGACTGTCCTCGAAACAACTGCAAGCTGAAAAACACCCGGGAAGCACGCGACTTCCCACAAATAACCTCTGATTATCTGAATCGGTCTGGAACCTTTTGAAAATGTGAAAAAGGGCTGTAATCCCGATAAAATCACTATAATTGAGAAAATGCACTATATGCAGTGTGTAAATGCGTATGCAAAATGCGTCGAAACATCGAGCTAGACACGGGATCCGGTTGGTCAAATTTTAGGGTGCAACACTATTCACATTAATCGGAGGACTTGATTCGACTCGAATCAAGGGACAAGAAGCGAGAGCAACATCAACATGAAGAAGTCTTGTTGTATAATTTTGCTTATTAATTCTTGTGTACAAACTGTCAAACATTACAGGTGATATCTATAATATAAATCTCAATTCTATTTTTTGAATTAAGGGCAGATGTACCCCTAAGCGAGGACGACGGGGGAACTGCATCAACAAATCTTTGTCTCCTTTATTTTTCAGCATTTTCATTTTGGCTCAAAAATAAGTGATTTTGTTGTATAAGTTGTTCTATCATAACTTGTGTTGATTTGAGTAAGTAATTACTACTGTTTTCAAACCTATTGTGCAACAACATTGCACAAGGAATTTAAGGTTACCTACTCAAGTCAAAAACTAACTTGGAGTGCCTCGCACACCAAGTGTTTGATAAATTGCTTACACCAAAGTTTACTTAGAATTTGTGCACTTTTGGTGGGATGTGTAAAACTTTGGTACTAGTCTTACTAGAGTGTAGAATCATTTGATAGTGTGACTAGTGTGTTGAATCTATTATTTTCATTATCATATCCGTCGGCTAGACGCATATCCAATCTTCCAATAACGGTTCGTTTTAGACATATTTTTCCAAGGCCGCTTCCGCATTTTGAAAAACCTTTTTAAACCAATTTTTAATTGGTAAGCTCCTACTCAATTTTTAATTGGGATCTATTCAAACCCCCTTCTAGATCCGCGCCATCGTCTAACATAAATCACATTAAAAAAAGGATTAGAATTTAAATATTATTTTATCTTATTTAATTGAAACAATAACTAGTAAGTCACTATTTTAATTGTAAAAATAAACATGATTGTTAACAACTATTTTCAAAAAACATAGTTATTATTTGAGTTTAAGTATTTTTAAATATCAATATCTTATTGATCATTTATAAATAATTTATAATAGTATTTGTCAGAAAAACGACATACATTTTTAAATGTAAATATAAACTAGTTTTACAAGTCCAATACAACTTAGATATTTTGGTTATCTTTAAATTACAATTACAAAGTGATCTTAAGTAGTTAATCATTTTAACCAAATATTTTTATTGTTATTTTTATTTTAGTATTAATCAATAATACCTTCATGTAAGACTCTTTGTTTAAGTAGGCAACCAATAAATGTTTATAATGACCTTTCAATCCAACAACAAATATACTCCAATTTGGATATTACCATAATACCATTCACCAAAGATGCCACATCTTGGACATTAGCACACTAAGGCAAAAATGTCAGTTTTTCCTCTTTTCTTATAATTATTTATTACATATTGAGTCGATAAATCCTATATTCAATTCAAATTGTTTGGCTTCAATATTTTTTTATTGTTCGGGACAAACCAAACTAATCTAGTTAGGCTCCAAATTACTGGAGTAATACATTATTTCAAACACAAGAGCCTATATAAAAAATATATTTTTGTAAATATAGTCTTGAGACACTTGTATATGTTGAATCTATAAGTTTTACAACTTAGTTCAAAACTACTGAATTTTTAAAGTATTAAAAATATTATTTAATCAAAATGATTTAAAAAATTCAAAACTATTTCATGTATAATGCTAGACAATTATTTCAAAGTACTGACATTTTTATACTTCAATATTTTTATGAATTATTGCGGTGATATAAATATTGTGACGAAATTGAAACAAGAGATTAGAGTGGCGCAGCAGAAGCGTGGTGGGCCCATAACCCATAGGTCTCTGGATCGAAATGGATAGTGTCTCATTTTTCTATTTTTCTTCTGTTAACATGCTTTTTCTATTTTTCTTTTTTCTTCTGTTAACATTCTTTTTCTATTTTTCTTCTGTTAACATGTTTTTTCTATTTTTCTTCTGTTAACATGCTCTATGAAGAACCTTGCTTTGCCTGCAACAAAAAATACTTGTTTCACTTATACTATATACTAACTTTTCTTGGAGTAGCTAACATATCATTCGAATGCTTACGTTGTATTACCTATTTTAATGGTACTAGCAAAATTCACCAGAGCTCTTTTTATTATTTACCAGTAAAATTCAAAAATAAAACTGAATAACAATTACAATCTAACATGATACACTGGTACTAGCCAGAAATCAGAATTCTAAATTACCGGGCAAGAATTTTATTCAATAGAAGAAAAGATAATTGTAATGGTTTAATTTATGTTTTATAGAGAGGACACTAGAGTCTAGAGCTTCTGCATAATACATAACAACAAACGTTCGAACTCCTGAAAATTAACAGAATCACAAAAATCATCATTAAATCAAACTCGCTAGGCTACTTTACATATGTCCTCATACTCCACGGCTTTAAGCACCCTACCATCATAGGAACCTTTCTCTATCTGCACCTTAGCGCAAAATCGATCTGTATCCACCCCAAGCAGCCTAGCAAGGGATCCGCGATAAGCCCCATTTACTATTTTTACACGTCCCCCAGCCTGTGGTATTACAGTTTCAAGCTCTTCCTGATCAACTCTGAGCACATGCTTGCATTCTAGCATTTCAATTTCCCCTACATACTTGTCAATCACTTTCCTCACAACACCTTTTTGCTTGTAGTACCCTTTCTCTACTAAGACTTTGCTCATAACCTTCACAATAATTCCCTCATGCAACCAATAATCCTTCCTGTTGATTTTTTCCTTTTCCTCTCTTCTTCGCGGATCATTTCATCCAAAGTTGATTTTCCACCACCACTTTCTTTCCTCTTCAAATTTTTTACAGGATTCTTTTCCTCATATTTCTCTTCATCAACCTCATCAAACGCCATCCTCGATGCCTCACCTTTATACTTGGCTATAGGTTTAGCAGACGACCCAAGAGAAAATCGTATCTTAATTCTATCTTCTGCATTTAGTTCCCTTGTAGTCTCTACCTGTGAAGGCTGATCGGACTCTGGATTAGATAGCTGCATCAATTGCTCAGCCCTTTCAATTTGTTTTTGGATCTTTTTTTCTTGTTTTTCTTCATCTACCATATCTGCCTTGATTCGCTAATTCTTCATCTTCTCCTTGAACAGGGTTTATGAATCTCTATCTATGTATGTAATGAACCATCCCTTGGGTGTTTCTTCAACCTTACATTTTCCAGTTCGACCCAAGTACTTAACAAATTCAGTAAGTGTACTCCACTCAGTGGAGTTCATATGAACATGGTTTCTATCATTTATATATTCATTATACACTACAGCCGCTGCCACACGGCTAAATCGATGGCTACGCTCCATGTGCTCAAGAAAAGTAGTCTCAAATTCTTCGGTATAGCCCTCAATTAGGCGAGTTGGGTTTTGTCCAAAAATTTGCATTTGACGCTGGTGCCCTTCACTCATGCAATGGCATTTGAAACCATTCTCGTCACGACACTGCTTCTGGCACATATGGCAATACCACCGAAGCTTCTGCAATCCTTTTGCTTTAATTTGATTGGCAATTGCCTTAGGTGTGAGAAAGTCGTTTTCCCCCATTGACAATCTGGATGGACCGTTTCAGATCAAACAAAATAATATCAGTAATCCTGCCCAGAGATTATGCCTGTTTCTGAAAAACACAAACAAAAAAGACAATATCATCAATAAATACGGCTTTGTAAGAACTAAAACTCATAATGTATTAGAACATGAAGGAATCTTGTATTCCTATGAAATTATATTATTCGCCAAACACAAAGATATGCATAAAAATCCTTGTAATAATATTCCCATGATGATAGTTTTAATCCTTGGCAAACATATTCTTATTTGAGCACATGAATGCTATTTAAAATTAAAACATGATTTATGATTCTCTCTCCAATGATTAAGTAAAAGATGAGTCTAGGAATGCTCTAACAGAAACCTTAAATTATATTACCAAGAGTAAGGATAACCCCTTGATTACAACACCATAAATTTCAGAGGCCTGACAACCTCCTAAGATGAAAGACACAATTTCTTTCAAAAATACACGACGCCCTTTCCCTCCTCTATTTAACTATTTATTTTTTACATGTTTTATGATATCCAAATTCCAAACCTCTCTAACTACTTGAGTATACTAACTACTGAGAATATGGAGTGTGAATCAAGCCTGTATTTGAATCGAAACAGGGATAATGATGCAAGTTCCTCCCTTTGGAATCAGGTAGATTCATATCTAAAAAGGTTGAGAACATGATCTTTCAAAATTGACTACTTCTCCACCTATTAGAGGTATCTCGATCCTATAGATTTCCCCAGATAATTATGACCGTAAATACTGCATATTTTATTACATTCATAAACCTATTTTCTTTGCTATGAATTATAACAAGACAACTATCAGAAGAAAAAGTGTAGTGCCAAAATCCCCAAGCCTCGTAAATAGACACGGCCTATAATCTATTGAAGAGGAGATGAATAACAATTGAAAACCCTAATCCTAATTGATGGCTTTCTCATAGTAAACTATCTACAACTAAACAATCCAACACATGAACAAATCAAGAAAATATTATATTGCAAATCAAATTACTTAGCAACTCACCATCAATTACTACAACTTATTGAGAAGGTATCCGGATTCCATGTTAATTAGTCCTCCGATTTTTCCGAAGCATAATAAATTAATAATGTATTTTGATGCAATAGTACTTTGAATTTTGAAGCAAGCGTATTATGTAAAAGATATTATGTAATTATAACAAGCACACCATGATCAACACACATTCAGTTCCTTGTGCATGTGAATGAATGTTAATTAAAACTTGATATACGATTCTCACTCCAACAACTGTAACAAGGGCTGATTTAACTCTTACTTGATCAAGTAGAAAAATGAGTGTACACTGTTCTGATAGGAATCTGAAATCCTATTAACAAGAATAAGGAAAATCCTCTTGATTACAACATTGAAAAAACGCAAATTTCCTCTCAAAAGAGCAATATGCCCTTTCCTCGAAACATGTTCTACAGGTAAGTTGAAGTTTGTGATAGTAAATGCCTAGGAAGAGGAAGTACCAAAGTAGGCAGAATTGCGATTCTGTTTATTCAAGATGACGATAACACTTCATCCGGTCCATTAGTAATTCAAGCCAGTTTCGAGAGCATGAAATTTTGAGGGTTTTGTGGTCGCAACAAGGTTCGGAGATGACAACTCAGTTGGGTTCGAATTTGAACATCAGTACAGCGGCATATCTCGACGAGTTCTATAACATTTGGCACCACTCGAGCCCTCAGTCGCGACTCCGCAAGACGATAGGATTACAAGTGACACACCAGAATGATAAACTAGCCTCGACATCAAACTAATTCGTGTTGATTTTTTCTGTTTGCAGGTTTTTCAGTTCATCATACATTGGGTCCAAAGGAAATCATGACTCACACCTTCAGACATGGTTGTGATTGTCGGCATCTTATTTAGTTCTTAGCCTCAGCTTCAGTTGTGAATAATTTCTATGCAGGTTGCGATACCGTTGAAAGAAAATCCTGAACGAGAGGGAAGATGAGGAACGTTGTCAGCAACAACAATAACGTTAACAGCAGTAGTTCATCAACAACAACTTGAAGCAAGAACCGTAGCTCTCAACATCAGCGGTGCATTGCTCAGCTTCCGTATCATTCAACGCATCCAACTTGACGAAGTCGTAACGTGGGGGTTATTTTTTCCAATAGCAACAATCAACAACACACGTTGGCTTTCACGGTTTTTGAAGTATTCAAGAGTTGAGTCGAATATGACGTTACAACCGTGACGACCTCTTCAACAACAACTTTGCGATAAATGTGGCGAGCTGGTTTCGGTTTATGGAGACAAAGATGAGCAAGAACGGGCTATGTATGTATACGCTTAATTTTTTTTCTTCGTTTTCATTTTTGTATTGTTGTGCTATTCTGTTTGGGTGTGTTTTCAATTACGTGCAGGTTGAGGATTGATTAGCGGTTATGGTATCGATTCAATGTCGGCACAACATTCCCGGACTCCGTCCTCTGCAACATGTTGTCATCTAGTCATCCGTGTATCCCTTCTTCAATAACAATGAAATGAAACAACAGCAATCCAACATTTCAACGCTGTCCGTACTCGCAATGTGTGACAACCACGACGACAGCAGTTGGAAATCGCGCGAGGTGTGGAGGTTTTGACGCTATTGGTTTCTTTTTTGACTTTGGTTCGTTGACAATGAAAGCCTAACAATCCCGTCTCCAAGACTGCACAAAAGCTTCGTCGCTACTTTCGGTATACACTGTTCTCTCCGCAGCTAAATTCCCCCGTAGCAGCTCATCTGCAATGCATGATTTTGTTTCTGTTTCGGTTTCGGTAATACTTCGAAGTGGCAGTTTTCTTGCCTTTTATTTCTGTTTCTTTTATGGTTTACATTTTGGAACACCTGTTATTGTTTCTGTTTTAAATATTTGGTTTTAAACATTATCAATTTTTTTCTTTTGGGTAAAATCCGTTGGATTTGCTTTGATGAGCAAGTGATTTAATTTGTCGCGTGTATTTAATGTGCGTGTATTTAATTTGTTGTAAACAAAAATATGGTTGTAAAGGTTCCAGGATCAAAAACTATTTTTTCTTTTACTTTAAAAACATGAATGTTCTGATTCATTGCTGCCACGGTTAAATGGTACAAAATGATAATTCGTTTCATCGAGTTTAGCAGCTACTAGTGGCTTTGGTGCCATTCTTTATGATACCTCATTGCTGCTAACTTTTTTTTCTGTGAAATATCCAGGTTGATAGAGATTTCTATTGGACTAATAAATTAGTCTTTGACTGATGTAGATATAAAAGATAAGGATTCAATTCATTAGTGTTTTCTTTACAGGTGGCAAATAGAAGAATAGAGTTTAGTTCTTATATAAGTATCAAGAGAGTTTAGTCATTAGATTTTTTATATGTAAATTTGTTTCTCTTTTGATAGATATGTATATTTCAGTTTTGTTTAGATTGAATTCTCAACTCAATATTAAATGTACCCCTCTCCCACAAGTGTAATAGTTGCTATCGCTTTTTCCTTAATTTTTCTTGAATGCTTCAAAACAATTTTCAAAATAATAAACTCTCGATTCATCGACATTTTCACCCGTGTAAGTCGAGTGTTTTCAAAGCCTCGACATCAACCTTTGATCACCATACACAACATTTCAAAGCTTAATCCTGGGCTTCCTTACAGTGACACCTATTTGATCAATTATTTCTAATTGGTCACTTAGAAGACTAGCCCACTTTGCTAGTCCACACGCTTAAAATTCAAATTCAAACCTCGACTTGCCTCGAGTAATTTTTCTCAAAGCAAACTAAATTCTTGAAGTCTAGCACTTCTTGGATTTTTGGACGATCATTATTGAGGTGTACACCTTAAATAATATATTGTTCGACTTTTCGTTCTAGTACACTCATTTTGGACAAAGAAATATCATAAGAATCTAGCATTCCGTGTGATATTTCCGTTGTTCATCCAAACTTTTTTCGAATGAAAAAGGTGTTGTTAGGATCTAGCATCCAAATGATACCCTGATTAATTGATTATGAGGCCTACGTCT